AAGTGTTTGTGGTGATTTTGGTCCAGTATTTGAAGGGGTTCGTTACAAATCCAGGTAAAAAAAAAATCCAGCAAAGTTCAGTCAGGTCATCAAGACGGTTTCTTATTTTTTGTTGAGACATTTCATCCTTCATCCAAAGGACTTCATCAGTCCAAGCAGCCACAACAAACTCAGTACCACAAGCAGCACACTCACATAGTGGACCAACCAGTTTGCTGGTGATAAGATGGTTTCTGGGGCCCGATGACCTGACTGAACTTTGCTATATATTTTTTTTACCTGGATTATTGAGCATGAACTTCGGTGTTTTGAACCACTTTGACTATGGATGCCTCAGAGGAGTCGATGGGGAAGAGGCCGAGCCCCAAAAACCATCTTATCACCAACAAACTAGTTGGTCCACTATGTAAGTGTGCTGCTTGTGGGAGGGACTTGTGGCTCCTCTGACTGATGAAGTCCTTTGGATGAAAGACGAAACATTTCAACAAAAAGAAACCATCCAGCGGACCTGACTGAACTTTGTTGGATAAATGCAAGAAGTTTATTTAATCTTTTTTTTTTTTTAACAAACAATTCTGTGTTGCCTGTTTGCTTTTTAGGAAAACACTCTTCGTGTCTCACTTCCCAGTCTTCTGAAGACATTTTTACTCTGCAGCTGACACAGTCTGCATGACATTAAATCAGAAACTGCAAACAATAGATTTATAACTGAACTCTGACAGCGGGTGTTTGCCTTGAGTTTTGCCCCACAGATTGTGCATGAATTACTGTAAAACTCCACCCATACAAAACAGATTTACGTGCGTCCTGTAAGAAATACTGCACTAAACAATGTTTTTCACTGACGGACACCACTGATCAGCAGCCAGATGTTAGAATTGTTTTCTTCTGGTAAAAGTTTTACTGGAATAATTTAAATGAACAAATTGTCTACATTACATGTTTTTCCTCTCAGCAAGCTCCTATCTGTAGCACTGGAATTAAATTTAAAGAAAGTAAATAAAGACTTCAGCCTAACTCAAACATTTTCACTTCAGTCATTAGACTGTTGGTTATTTAGCTCATATTAGGACCTGATGGTGACCTGTTTGTGCTGCCTTCAGCCTGGACTCACCTGAGACTCATCAGGCCCAGCAGGGAGTTGTAGGCCACCGCCTCTATCTTGTTCCTCTCCAGGTAGATGTGAGTCAGGTTCTCCATGGCTCTGATGGCCCCAGGGATCCTCCTGAAGTTGTTCTGGAAGCAAAACAGCTCCTTCAGTGTTGTCTGCTCTATGAAGATGCGGTCAGGGATGCTGAAGAGGTTACAGTTGGATAGGTCCAGCCGCAGCAGTTTTTTCAGCCCTGTGAAGGTCCGTGTGTGGAGGTAGCTGATATACTCGTTGTGAGACATTTTCAGCTCCAGCAGGTTGGGAAGACCCTGTGGAACAAAGCGCAGGGCGAGTATTGGAAATTAACATTTTTCTGTCAAACACTGCAATCTGTCATCAGAAACAGAATAAGTTTTATTATCACTGTACTGGGATACAGTAAGATTATGTTCGTACAGCCGTCCGAAAGATGGGCAGAGTGCACGTTGCTGCTGCTACAAGAGCGCGGCCTCTTATTCTTTATCAGAATACTTTGTACGATAGACAAAGAATTTTCATTAATTTGAGAAATTTGATAGTCGGCCCACATCCGAGGCCAAACAGGGGAGTCAGAGTCTTGAATTATTATTTAGACTTCCTCTGTCTTAGAAAATAAACACATAAAACTAACAAGTGGTGGTTATACCCCCTTTGTTTTGAACCCCAAATCATCACTTTCAAAAGCCACATAATTTGTTAAATTAGATTCATCTGCAGGTTATATATGAGTCAGATGATTTCAGTTTATACCATACCATACCAATTTATTTATATAGCACTTAAAACAGCAACA